GGGCGGCAGGGGAGCGCGGCGAGGTTTCTTCGGTCGGTTTTAATAAGCTGCTGTAAGCGGAGGCGAGGGCTGTGCTCCGCAGCCAGCGCGGTCAGTCGCCGCACCAGCAGCGAGCGGCAGGGGTGTCGAGGCCTTACACGCGCCGTACTGCCACGCGAGCTTTAAGACGCAGGTGCTTGTGCCTCGAAAAGGTTATCCCTCACCTTGGCTGCTTCCCCCGTACACCACCTCAACCGTCCGTGGGCTGACACTGGCTGGGAACAGATCCGAGCTTAAAATACCTCTGCTACCTCCTCGGTTAGTTTTAACATCAGTTTTCTAATGCGGTTCACAATACACCTGGACAACTGCTAGTAACTGCTCAAAGCAAGGGCAGGGACAGGAGCAGAAATAAGCATTTCACGAGGAACGAGCAAGATTATTTCATGTAGCAGTGGCCCTGGGCTACGCCAGCTGAGTGTGTGAGGTCTGCATGGTGTGGGGACTGAAAGCTTGCAGACCTGAACACCCACAGCAGCCTGTCCTATTCATACAGGGTCTTGAGCAAGTGGATTAATACCATCAAGGAAGCTGCTTCGAATAAAATAGCAGCAAGTGCCACTCCTTGTCTTAGAATCTGGGTTTTTGTGAGTCATGTAAAGTCTCACCAGTGTCAAAATCAGTGCCAACTATCCATGCAGAAGCATTTTCTTACTGTTTTAAGTGTCAGGGAATTACAGACAGGGGAAGGGCTCCTTATTTTTAACACTACACAACGTTTTAGTGAATGATTTGATATATAACTAGAATAAACAAAGCAAGTGAGCCCCTGATCACTTGTGCCATTTAATTTTTAAGGCTGTTATCCTGCACGCTCAGTAATAACCTTAGAGCAATGATGACAGACCTGAAAGGGGACCAACAGCAATAGAAAGAAACTCAGTGTTCTGTTATCTTCAAGTAGGTCCCCAGAGAAATACAGACCCAGTTCTTCTTCAGCATCTGATATCTTCAGGATCCCCCTTCTGCATAACTGCAGAGACACAAAGCCTCAGCCTGCAGACGTGCCCCGTGGTGCCGACACACAGAGATCCCTGCAGCTGAGGAGATGGTGAGCAGCTCACACAATCTCGAGAGTCTCAGATAAGGCCTCCCTGCTCATATCACCAGCAGGATTCAGTCCAAGAACACAGTCCCAGCCTGCCAACCTGACCTTATTAATTCTTTTAGCCTCAGTTGTCAGCTTTCTTAGGAGCCTTTCTCTGTCACACCCTACATTGGTTTATAAATAAACTATGAAAAGACATTAATAATAAACCCTTTTTGCCTTGCCCATTGCCACATAAACTAGATGGTACAGGTCTTTGGCTGGTACTGTTTGCTTTTGATATCAGTAATTAGACACACCTCCCAACAGGGCAGGACAGTTTTTTACTTGGATGGTTCTGAGGTAAATTATTTTGTTAGTGGCACCAGCACCTGAATAATACTTTTAGTAAGACACAGATATGAGAATCCACAAGCTAAAAATTCAGGTGCTCAGAATAACAGTAATGTACGCAGTATTCCTTTTTCATTATATTCCTATCAGCTGCCTCAGACTTTTCAGTGATAGCACTGGCAAAAGGGAAGAAAAAACAAGGCAATTAGAAAGAAACTGTTGACATGGGGTAGATCTTCAGAGAGGCAGAATAGTTGAGCAGAGCTGTGATTAGAAGTCAATAGTGGAAGTACTTGATTTTTAACAGGATTTTAATTTATTACCAGAAAGGGTACCATACAACAAAATTGTTCAGTGTTTATTAACGAGTTTGAGAATTTGCAGACAACTGATTCAAATTCACTTTCTAAATGAAGGTCATAGATCAAACACTCTGAACTCCTGCACCTTCAACTGAAGTCATTGAACTCTGAAGTTATAATCACATTGGTTTAAATCATGTATGTAAAATAGAGTGAACAGTGAGGATCAGGCCACTGCTCCTTTTTTCCAAACCTTAGGATATCATTAAAACCACATCCACTCCCTCCCAGCTCTGCTCCTCAGGATGGATATGTATGTGTAGGAGTTTACAGTTTCTCCAGCTGACCCTTCAGGCAGTTGCAGCAATGAGCAGATTTATCCTGGAGCACTATGGCACAGAAGGCACTGTGTGTAGCCTTCTCCAGTCGTTTACAACTTTCCCTGACTTGCATTAGTGCTCACAGGTAATCAGCCCTGGTTCAGATATTGCTACCCCTAGTATGAGACTCAGTAGACCTGTGCCGCTGACCATATATAATGAATATTCATTAGTTTTTTGGGTTTTTTTTCCTATTCTGGTTGGTACACATAACTACTTACTTAAATGCATTCATTTCTGGCAGGAATAATCTTCCTTTGTGAGGACAAACAAAACAAGGATTGTACACTTTAGCCTGGTGTGCATCATCCATTAGCTGTTCTCCTTCCACATTCTGTAATAAATCTCCACTTACCTTTCTTTATCCCTTACTTTTGAGATATTTTTAGACCATCTTCTTTTTGCCTTCGATGTCTCTTGCTGCTCATAACTCATTCTGTCCATTTGCCTTTCTAAATTGATTCCTGTGTTCTTGTTCTCTGTATCTACTTGCAGCCTCACTTACGGTTTATTGTCTTTTGGAGTTTCATTTTCTTAAAGAGCACTTGTTGCAGACTTATTGCTACACATTTTTCTTCCTGTACTTCCTATCTTTCCTTCCTATAGAGAAAATTTGCTTCTTGGGTTTTAATATACTTGCTTCCACTTATTCTCAGCAGCCTTCATTGTTAAGATCACCTCAAAAGACATTACCTTTTGGTTCTCTGACTTTTCAAAAGTCTGCTTTTTTCCTTATTCCAAGTCTTTTGTGCTTTTTCCTTGCAATGATTTAACTCCATGTGTCACTACCACTTTCAAACAAACTACCTTCCTCTTCTGAATTTTCAACCAGTTCCTCCTTGTTTAAAATCAGAAGTAGCAGCTTGGCTTCCTCTGGTGACTTCCTCTATTTTCTGAGACAGAAGTTGATTCCAGTGTGCTCAACAAGCTTGATGGACTGGTGGGGGCCTGCCAGTTTGCTTTTCCCACTGACAGGTAGCTGAGGCATATCTACAGAGTAATATACAGTGCTCTGAAAGAGCGAGCTGAGCTGAATCAATGCAGCTCTCCTCTGAACTGAGCACCTGCACTGAGAAGTTGTAATGAGATCTCTTATTCGCATTCTTTCTAGTCCTGGCTGGCCTGATCAGCTGCATGCCACCTTCACCAACACGTGAAGAATACCTACTCTCCAAGATGACTTGTCTCTTTCTCAGGAGTGGTTTGTGCAGCACCCCCAAGCTGCTTTTTCAAATTGACAACTGTTGATCGGATTTCAAGACCAAATAGTTCCCAGGGAATTCTTTCCTCAGAAATAATGTCTTCTTGCATATCCAGGAATGGGACAGTGAATTTTTTCAAGGACACCGACTTCCAATTGGAAACCATTTAAAACCTAGAATTATTACCGCACTTTTGGTAACACAGTGATTTTCTTTTGCTTACTGTTTAGATAATCACATAGATTTTTTTTTTTTCCCCTGATCTGCTATAAATTCAAGTGTACTTGTTTTCTTCTCTTATTTTTCTCTGGGTGTCCTACCTGAGGTCTAAAGCAGGACCTTGGCTGGCTGCCAGGTGCCCACCAAGCTATTCTCTCAGTCCCCCTCCTCAAAAGGACAGGAGGAGAAAATAAGATGCAAAAGCTCGTGGGTTGAGGTAAAGACAGAGAGATTGTTCACCAGTTACTGTCATGGGCAAAATAGGCTTGACTTAGGGAATTTAATTTACTTTATTGCCAATTAAAAATAGAGTAGGATAGTAAGGAACAAAGACAAAATTAAAAACCCCTTTCTCCCCCTTCTTCCTCCCAGGCTCAACTTCACTCCTTCTTTTCCAACTTTTCTACCTCCTTCCCCCGAGCTCCTTCTTCCTCATGTTCTTACCCTGCTCCAGCGTGGGTCCCCCACAGGGTCACAGGTCCTGCAAGCAAACCTGCTCCTGCATGGACTCCTCTCCGGGGGCCACCGTTCCTGCCAGGAGCTGCTCCAGTGCCGGCTCTCCACGGGCTGCAGCTTCCCTCAGGGCACATCCACTTGCTCCGGCATGGGGTCCTCCATGGGCTGCAGGTGGATATCTGCTCCAGCGTGGACCTCCATGGCACCTCCTCCCCCTCCTTCCTTACTGACATTGGTGTCTGCAGGGCTGTTTCTCTCACATTTTTCTCATTCCTCTCTCACAGCTGCTGTGCAGTATTCTTTACCCTTTCTTATATATGTTATCACAGAGGCAC